CACCTGAAAGGTAGAAGTAGAACATCACAAATACTTTGTTCAGGGCTTATTTCACTAACATCCTCCTGCATCTTTCAGACAGCCCCTGATGGCTGGAAGAACTCTGTGCGCCACAACCTGTCTCTGAATAAGTGTTTTGAGAAGGTGGAGAACAAGATGAGTGGCACCTCTCGCAAAGGGTGCCTCTGGGCTCTCAATCCTGCCAAGATTGACAAGATGGAAGAGGAGATGCAGAAGTGGAAGCGGAAGGACTTAGCTGCTATTCACAGGAGCATGGCTAACCCAGGTAGGCCTTATATTACGCTTTTGCTATGTATATGAGAGGAAAGGGGGAAAAATGGCTATTTGGCCAGGAATGCATGAATCTTAAGAAATAAGTTATATGAAACAGAGCTGGCTAGTGCAGAGCTCTCACATCTTGCAACGGCCTCCTCCTCTGAGCAGCTGAGCTGAAATACCCCATGCTCTGCACTGAATGAAGTCATTACTGCTGCCCCGAGGTTGTATGACAGGGCAATACACTACAGCAGGAGGGGGTAACTGGACTGACAGCTGTTCTGGAGGCCCTCAGTGCAAATTGGTCCCCAGCTTCAAAATGGATTGTCTTTTTCCCCCATGCTAGCCTATCTAGCACATCCAAGGCCTTCTGAGGAGTTATGCTGCCTCCAGTGTTAGTATTTGTAGTGTCACGTTTTAATGCAGTTTTTTGCTTGCTCCTCTGCAAAACGCTCCCTTTGCTAAGACTTTCTCATTCTTACTTATAAAGACACATGGTTTTGAAGCTTTCAGGAGTTCAGTATTGCAAAATCAACTGGAGTTTTTTGCTGCAAAATCTGTAACATGCAATCAATGATAAATTGCATTCTCCTCTGCTTAAAAACAAGTGACATTGAAACTGTCAGGAGTCTCTTGTACGAATCTTATTTGAGATACAAGCAGAATTCAGAATTTCCCTATGAGCAGGAGACCTACTGAGGATATTTAGTTCTGCCACTGTGGGCCAGCTGCCATCGGCTGTGGCGTGGTTGCTCTGTGTAAATCTCATGTGATCATTTCTTTAGCTCAGTTAGGGGTAATGGTGGAAGTCGACTAGGGTAAGAGCTAAGGGCAGGGAAGTAGATGGCATTTCTTTGCTCTCTGCACAGTCAAAGCCTGGCTTCTGTGCTGCACTGCGTACGGTGACAGACACTGCCTGTTCAGTGTTACGGCAAAAGCGTGTGGCTATGCTCACTTGTGACATGCTTTGGCCGGGTCCTGCTTGAACGAATGGGTTAAATTGTCTCTTTTCTTCCTTGGGAATGGGTATCACTTGCGCAGAGGAGCTAGACAAGCTGATCACTGACAGACCTGAGCACTGCAGGCGACCCAGCAAACAGGCAGAGCCTGAGGTCTCCACCCTGAGCCACATGGCAGCAGCCCAAGGCCGAATCTCCATCTCCCAGCTGCAGCCTCAGCCCATCATGACGCTCTTGCTGCAGTCCATCCCCCTGCATCACCAGATCCAGACCCAGGCTCGCATCACCCCAGACTCACCAGCACCTGCACAAACGCCTCCTCTCCATACTCTGCCTGACATGAGCCACAGCCCTCTTCCCCACCATCCCATGGGACGCGCGCCTCCGGACTTCCTCAACATGACAGCAGACATGAACGCGGAGGTGGATGCTCTTGACCCAAGCATTATGGATTTTGCATTGCAAGGTATGGGAGAAGGAAGCTGGGGTAGGGGAGGGCATGGCTTCTGTGGTTATGCAGTCACTGAATATATAACCAGGGTCCTCAGCAGGATGCTCTGGGGCAGGATGTAACTAAGCTAAAAACTGGAGCTGGCCTCTGCAGCATGACTTCCCTGGCCTTCCTCGGTGCACTTCTGCCCTGTGCTAGATGGGACAGCAAACTGCCTTCACGGTTGAAGTGCACTTCAGACATAGGCAGGGATATCCAACCAGCTGGATCTGGGACACACATCTCTCTGCCCATGGGAAACCATAGCTCTACTCGTGCCTTGGTTTTCCCCTTCTGTAAAAGGAGAACTTCCCCAGCTCACGGCTATGCCTAGCGTGGCCCCTGGGTTTCCAGTTAGCACATGGTAGATAGATGCTGCCTGGAAAGGTCTGGACTCCTGCTGGAACCAGGGGAATTCGGGGGGACACAGACGCTCTTACTGCCTTTGCACTACAGATGGTACCGTCCGCAAGCAGCACTGGTCCTAAGCAGCGGGTAAAGCCCTTTAGTTATGGACTGACCCCTACGCACAGTGCCTGGGAGGGTTGGATGTGTTGCTGTGACCAGAATTTAATCTTTTAAAGGTAACATATGGGAGGAAATGAAAGACGACGGCTTCAGCCTTGACACCCTGGGTGCCTTCAGCAACTCCCCGCTCCACCTCTCAGACTGTGACCTGGGCACCCCTGGCCTCACCCCTGTCTCCAGCGGCAGCGATCACTCCTTCTCAGACTTGCAGGTCACCGGCCTTTATACCACCGACACGACACTGGACAACGTAGCGGCAGCTCAGTACATGAACCCCCAAGGCAACAAACCCATCGCTCTGCTCTGAGTTTTGCACCGTTCCACAGACCTCTGACTCAGGGGCCAGTTTCTCCTAACTGTTAAATTCCGACCTGAAAGCAATAAAAGAGCTCCTCCTGCAGATGCTTGGAATGTGTTGGCTATTTACTGGGACACAGCACGTGATGCCAAAATAAATCAAACTGTTACTAGTAGAACCACTTTCACCCGTGGCAAGACTGAGGAAGAGGCACGGACACTTGTGTTGCAGGACTGGTGAGCTCTCAAGAAGGACCCAGAAGGCATCAGTAAGCAGGAACTTTCACTAGAATGTAACTGAGTGAAAAAATAGTCCCGTTAAGGTAAATACGTTTAATCTACACTGTGATCCGGACTTATATGCGGACGCTGTTTGGTCACCACCTCCACAGAAGCCAACACAAGTCAAGGGGCTGTTCAGCACCCAGCTGGAGTCAAAAAATGGTTGATCATGTACCATGCATATCTTTTTTCTTAAATTGCCAAATAACTATTGCTGTTGAACACAGACCCCACACAGTTTCTGGAGACACTTGCACCACTAACGCTTTTCTGACGTAACTATTGTTAATTTATTGTTATGAAGTAGGAAAAAAGGAGGAAAAAATACTAAAAATGAAAAATCAAACCCATAGCAGTCAACTGTTATATCTAGTTTTAAAAACAAAGTCCTTACCCTGTGAAGGAAGTGGTGAATTATTAAACTGATCGCTGGCTAGAAGATTTTAGGAATTATGCCTATTTTTAGGATTTTTTTAAAAAAGATTAGATTTCTTTATAGTCTTGTGTATTGTGCTTCTGTCTATTCTTGTGCTAGGCAGTATTACTATTTGTAAATTTATTTATATTTATTGTTATGAAGAAAAAAGAAATTATGTAAACTGAGCACTGTTCAATTTTTTTAAAATGCTGCAGTAACCTGTTCTACATCCACTAAATTATTCATAATCAAAAATGCAACAATTTTAATCACTGTTGTTACACTACATTTCTTTTAAATAAGCACTTTTGATACTGTGAAACTCATGGTTTTTAAAAAAAATTCAAAGACCAAATATTGTAACTGTACCATACCAATTCATAATAGTCTTTCTTTCCTAGTTAATCAAGTAAAATTGATTCTAATGTAGTTTTTTTAAATTTTCAAACCCTGCTTTATACTCGGTAACATACGTTGCAAAAAAAGTGATGAAACATCTGAAAATATAAAAAGCAAACTGTATGTTGGAAATTAGCATTTAGTTTACTTACTTATACCTCTGTGACCATGAAGTAATATTTATATCTCGTTTTGTCTGTTCCTGTGCATTAATAGAATTTCCCAGTCTGTCAGTTCCCGGTGTTGTATCCCCGTGCTCACACGCGTGGCTCCTCTCTTCCACGCTGAGTATGGCTGGGGCTGGGGAGGCAGAAGGTCTCTCCAGCTTAAGTCCATGCACTAAAAACCCAGAGGGTGCAGGACGCTGAAAATCACTGTTGTGAAGATCAGGGGCTAGAAAATGTCTGTGCCTGTATCTTCCCCAGTGCATCTGTCCGTGGCAACCTCTTCCAAAAGGGCACAATGCTCCACGTCATAATTTATTGTTCAAGAACAAATGTGATTAATGATCATTTGCTGTGACTGGCGTCATCTACGATGTCTTCATTTTTTTTTTAAAATAAATATTTCTTAGCACTAAGCCTGGGTCATTCTAGATGCGCTGCATTATGACTTCTGTGGTGTCAGGCGCACCCCTGCCACATGGCATGCTGCAGCTCGGCATTAAACAGTAAATCCGAGGCATCTGCTACTGGAAATCCAACCCAGTGAGGAAATAGTTTCATAACAACTTACGGATGTTGACAAAGGGACAAAGCTCAGACGTGTTTGACTCCAGCCGCGGTGTCCGAGCGTGCTGAGGAGCAGGCCCTTCTCTTGAATCTAAGGCGCGTGCGTTTGCATGCCACCACTAACAGAAAAGCATCTCAGCTGCGCACAAAGCATTCGCAGTGCCCACCTGCAAATGGAAGTGAGGGCTTATCTCTGAAAGGACAGCTTTGCCCAGGCTTCATTGCCTTTACAGAGATAACACTGTGTCCGAGTCGAGGCTTTGTCCCTGGCTCAAATCCTCCAGGAGAATGAGAGTTTACGGATATTTACTGTATGAACTCTTTTTCCATTCTGTCATATTCCTGAAAATCTCTGTGCCTAAATGTGTGGAAGAGGTCTGGTTTAGGGCCAGGCGTCCGCAGGAGGGCTGCTACGAGCTGCTCTGTTCTAGAGCAGTTTCTGTGCTGCGGAGAGGGGTCTGCACAGCGGCAGAGCCACCGGCCCCTGCTCACATCTGCGGTGTTTATGCAATGACAAAAGAAACAGAGTTCAGGAAAAATTCCTTGAGAACTGTGCTCCCTTTATTGGCAGTGATTTGGCTCCCATATGGTGAGCGTCAGCACCCCCCTTCCCTGACAAAATGTGGTGACACCTTTCAAACCAGCAAGCACCTCATAAAGCCCTTTCCACCCCCAGCCCCAGGACAGGGAGACCTCCCCACAGACCCTGGCGGGACCCCCACCCCAGGCATGACCAAGAAGGTGTCCTACACTTCCGCACCACGGCAATACAGCACTGCACCTGAACCAGGCGTCCCACACTCCATCGCCACCCTGCCTCCCCCTTTGCGAGCCAAAGCTAAACCTGTGCTGGTGAAATGACGCACCCGCACAGGCAGAGGCACTGGAAAGCATGTATTCAAATTTCCCCTCCATGAGCCACACTGAGTAAAGGCCACCTGAGAAGCAAGGTGCGGGTCCAAGCAGACGGAGAGCTCACCCTGGCTCCTGTGCTTCAGCAGAGGGACCGGCTCGCTGGGGCAGGAGCACCCGCAGCTGTGTCCTCCCTCCTCTCCATCCTCCACAGGAGCTGCAGGCTGAAAACACCCAAAGGAACTGTGGCAGGAGCCAGAAAGGACACAAGATGGGCGAGAGGAACAGTTGGGTCAGTCAAACCGTGGTGGAACGGTTGATGCTCCCGCTGCAACAGCTCCCAGCATGGCTCGCTGATGTCTTTTCTGAGCCATCAGCTACTCATAGTCACATCTACTGATTGCTCCCCAACAAGGGAAAGGATGAGACAAATTGCTCCTCACAGTTCCTGAGTTTATTATAAAACATTAGTTTGGGACTGCTTCTTAAGCAGGGTTTGTATTTCCTTGTGCCGGTGCCTGGTCAGCTTCAACGTGGCCATACGGAGACCTCCTCCTTCATCCCGCTCCCCCATGGTGCCTGGGCCAGTCAGTTTGTACTTCCAGCTCCATTCAGTCTCATGAGACATGTCTGACACTGGTGCTTGTTTTAAAGACTAAGGCCAGGGCTTGCAACTAAAACACAGTAAAAGATTTTAGATTCTTTTTAAAACCAACCTCTGCACCGGCTCCAGATTCCAGACTTGGCTTGGGCCAAGTTTATCTTCTGCCAAGCCGCCCCTCTGATGAACACAGCGCCAGAGGGAACTCTGCATGGATGGAGAGACCATCTTCATGGCCTAAAATACAAACACTGGCATCCTTTATTTAGGCACACAAGTAAGAGTCCCAGGCTTCTGTTTGAGGGCTGACAAACCAGGTGAGGAGGTGAGGTCTGGCCTCTGAGCAGCAGCGTGTCCCGGTGCCCCTCCTGCCCTGCGGCGATTGCCCTGCACGCCACCGGCCACTGGCTCAAGATGGGCTGTCATTATCTACCGTGGACAGGAGACGGGCGACCTGGGCCTTCTGCGCACGGGTGATGTGCTGAGCCATCTGGATGACGCAGTCCATGGCCACCTCAGGGTTGGCTTGGACCAAGCTGCAAGGCAGATGGGAGAGGGCAGCTGCCTCAGGGGCTGAAGTAAGAACCACCTCGTCTCCACCACCCACTGTCCCCAACCCAGGGGACAGCATTGCGCTTTGCATCCCGGCTCCTGTGGCCACTCACCTCTGGATGTGCTTGAGCACGTAGTCCCGCTTCAAGTACTTGATGTTCTCCCGGATGGCTGACTGGGTGCCGTCGTCCTCTTGCATGTGCTTCTCCAGCCACTCCACCACCACCTGGTTGTTGTCCCAAAGGTAGCCCTGGGGAGAGCAGCACCATGGACAGGGGGTCCTGCTGCCTGCGCAGCCTGAGCCCCCCTTTCTGCTGCATCCTTGGGCTTGATCCTCCCATGACACAACCAGGCAATGGGATTTTTCTTTTCAGTCCTGCACATATGGCACAGCATGGCATGCTCCCCCACTCCCATTTAACTGCCACTGGAGAAAAGGTTCAGTCCAGAAACTGAAACTGGGGAGAGCTTTGTGGACTGTTTAAGATGCAAGAAGTTAAGGTAAAATATGTTTCCTTTGCATGCCCTCACTTCCCAGCTCAGCAGGCACAGGACTGGCATGGCGATGTGCACGTGATGGCACTTGCACTTGAGAGCAGCTCAAATACAAAGACCCCAAATCTCTCTTCTGCCTTGGGAAGCCCTATCTGACGGTAGAAAATGAGGAGGCCTGTGTTTATTTGGGGGCCACCTTGCTACTGCTGAGCACCAGCATCCAACAGAGGTCACCCACTTTGAAGAGACAGCCCCAGGCTCAGGGCTGCTTGGCTGCCCACCCTGGCACAGGCTGCAGAATGATAATTCCCATTGCATGTTTAAACCCTCAGGGAGGCACCAACGAAATGGCCAAGCAACAGGAGAGCAAGGTGACAGCCCTCGGGACACCCCTGGCCACAGGGATGCCTCAGGAAGCCAGGGGGTACCTTCGTGGCTCCTTCTGTCTCCATGAACCAGCGCCGTAGCATGGACTGGATGTGGATGTGGCTCAGCTCGCTGTTCGCCTTCAGGACCTCCGCCTTCACCTCCTCCTCCAGCAGCAGCCGTCGCAGCCGCCAGTAGAGGAAGGAGCGGGCGTTCTTCCACTCCAGGATGTCCTGCAGAAATGGAGGCAGAGCCTGGGTTTGTCTTTGCAGAAAGAAGAGGAGCTGATGTGGAGCAACTGCTCACTCACAGCTCGCACCGGCAGGTTTGAAAGCAGCTCTGGTGGGCTGGAGTGGAGAGCAGCACCCAGGGCAGTAACAGCACATTGAGCTGCAGCCCAGACCCCCGG